TGAGCAGATCGTTGTTTGCGTCAACGCGTTTAAATTACAATCATCTACTCCAAAAGTTATTGGTAGGTGGGTATATTCCTGCGCGGTCCCCTCAAGGAACAGCCGGGTAAATAAGTAGATCTATATATCGGTTCAACGGTCAACCTTTAAATCAGATTCCCATATCCCCAGTAAACACGTATTTAGTCCCTTCCTGAGGCCCGGCGGAAAACCTCGTGGCCAACTCGCTGTTCACCTTATTGGCATCGAGACCCGGCGCATTTATATACAGCTTCTGGAGGGCGGGGAGTGCCTCATGGATGGAGGTAACTACTACTAACCATATCGCAGAGCGCGGTTTCGGAGGATGGTAAGATAGTGACTTCTTTCAACGCTCGATGTCGGTTGAGAAACTGTTTGGAAATTGTATCCACATTATCCCAGCCGATTCTCAACTCTGTGAGTCCCGGGATGGTGAGATACTGGAGAGTGGTTTCCGTCGGATCCCATGGTCTCCGTATGCATGGATCCGGCAGATAGAGTCCTGAAGTTGTTGCTTGTAGAGCAATAACCATGGTGCAGTTTCCAGAAGCGCTGGAGTGGCATTGTAATCTCACGGAAGAGATGGAGGAGATATGGGGCCGGCGCATTTGTTAGGAATCTGGAGCCACACGAGTCCGAGGCCCGCTCCACTCTTGTTTATATCGCGGTTCGAGGAAGCTCCGCGACAGCGCGTTGTCTCATATCTCTTGCACATTGCTTGCAAACTTGCACAGCTAGACGGCAATTTTGGGGTGTACGGAACGGGCCGGAAGAAGTGCTCAGCCATTTGTCCACCAGGTTGGGAAAACACACAGATGTTGCAAGGTTTGCGGTGTACCGATCCAGACAGAAGTCCACGCACAAAGTGTGGTGGTTGATAAATTGGCCGAGATCAAGAATTGATTTGCAGCGCTCACTGGAGATGTTTGAGAATTTACGTTGAATCAGAACATTGAACAATGCATATGGGGAACAGTATCCGATAAAAAGGCCCATTCACCGGTATTGTGTGTTGAGGCTGTTCAGATGGGCAAATTGAAAGTAATTGTGCATGGGGAAGCCGACTGAAGTTTCGACCCATTTGCTAGGGAGCAGCGATGCGGTTACTACAGTAAGATATTCCAGTGAGTAGCAGAAAAAACCCCGGTCGCATGACCGGGGCCTGGGTCAAACAGGCTGGCTGGACAGCCGAAGAAGCGAAGTAGAAGGGGAAAAGGGTCGTGGACTCGTGCATGCAGAAAAAGAAAAAGAATCCATCATCAGCAAACTATGCCTCGGGCCTGAGTCGAACAGGCGGCTTCCGCCAAGTTTCCATTGAACTTGATAGACATTTGCGGACGTGAACCGTTTCACCACCAGTCAAAGTACATGGTGACAGGTGGAAAGCGGTGGTAGGACGGGCTATAGGAATCCATTCGGAGCTTAATCCCCCTGCGTACAAAGACAGGCAAACTTGAGCTTGAACGTGTTACCCTGGCAAGGATGACACCAAAAAAAAAAACATAAGCAAGCCCGTCATGACGGGCTCGGTGAAAGTGACGCCAGTGACGCCAAGTGACGCCCTTTGCCGCCCTCTGTGACGCCCTCAATCAGGAACATTGACGCCCCCATGTCACGTCACGCCTCAACTGCTGCCCTCACCACCAAAAGAAAAAATCGGGATTGGAGTTGAGGGCTTCAAGAGACACTGTAGTCGGTCTCCTACACCGTGGTTGAGGGAAAACCTCTCAATTTCCGTTATTCACAAGATATTCAACAAATGGTCATGGCGTGGATCACGCGCACTTTGCGCACAGTACTGAATTGCCTTACAGCATGTCCACGAGTCTCATTTGGGACGAGTCCAAGACGCAAATAACGAGCTAGAGTACTAAAGATTGAACCAACACATTGTAGAGGAATGTCGGTATCTATAATCTGAGCATATATCATGATTCTTCACTGTATTTACATCTTGGTTTGCTGCATGGCCTAAACTAAGACTTTTAATCAGTTTGACGAACATTTGGGATGAACAAGAATGAACCGATGACATAACTGGCTTCACGTCGAACTTCAACTTGACTTCAACCAATGTTGAATCATTGTTGAACTAGATTGAAGCCGATCAAGTCACCAATACCCACAGTAGGGTCAAATTTCCGACATGCCGAAGTGTAACAAGGAGCTTAGAGAGGTCCTCCTGCTCCCTTGATTTTTCTCAGACATGCCCATTGACGCCCCCATGTGACACTGTCACACTTGGGTTGACGCCTCACTGCCGTCCCCACATTTTGGCTGCCGCCCCTCGCGCTGAAATGTGACGCCCCGGTGACGCCCCCTTGCCGCCCTCTGCCGCCCCTTGACGCCCCGTTGACGCCCCTTGACGCCATCATTTGCCGGCATCTGACGCCCCCAGCGCAAGTATTTCAGCAAATTTAAGCGATATCGTGCATCAATGCCGTTGAATTTTGCGGCCGCTGTTGTAAGGAAGGTTCATTGCACATCTGAGACACGCGAACATGCAAATTTCACCAAAATAAATATGTCATTGCCGCCCCACTGACGCCCCCCTCGGCAAAGGGCGTCAAAGGGCGGCTGTGGCGTCACTTTCCCTTTGCCCCGTCATGACTCGCGCCTGAATCGAACAGGCACCGTCCGTAAGTTCTCGATCTCCCACAGATATTGCGCAACCATTCGCCAACAAGGTGCTTTTAATGTGTCGACAGTCAAGTAGACCGCCCAAAGCCCACAGAAAAATCTCTCCTTTGACGAGCGAGGCTAAGTAAGGCTGGCTAAATACAAACAGACAGGCAAAGTAGGAAAGGACCATGCACATGAAAACAAAGTACATACCCTTCTGATCCCGAGAAGGGGTACATGCAGTATCGAGTATCCAGTGTCGACTTGAATATCGTCTCAAAGCATCGAGTGCCTCCTCCTCTCGTATTCCCCGCCGTCGCCCCGTCAAAAGCGATGCGCGGACGATGCAAGTATCCGATCCTGCTTTCCCCCTTCTCCCTCCACTCCAATCCCCTCCCACGCACACCCTTCCCAAACCGCAATACACGATACACCCGACAACAGGCACCGTGATTCGTCTGGATATCGGGGGTTCCTTGGCATAGCCCTCGAAAGCATCCCGTCGCCGCCCGCATGCTGAGATGCGACTCGTGCTATTGACACCAACACATCCACCTAAGGCCGTCGTCAGTAACGCCTGTATGACGAAGAGAAATATACATACCTCGATACAATATGCCGATAGACACCGTACTTTCGTATGGCGATCGCAAGCGATAGTGGAGACACGAGACGATAGACGCGCCAGTAGCCCCAGCCCCAGCCCGGGATCCATTGGGGCTTTGCTTCAGAGAGCGATGAGGGAAGGGAGCGGGGCGCAAGGAAGCAAGGCGGCATATTATCGTCTGCGGGCACCGAGTCGTCGTCCTTCTCCGTACTAGCACCAAGAGCGGGGAACCAGGCGGCAGGATGACGCGTGGGGTACGGAGTAACAGCCACGCGCGATAAGAGATCGATGTACATGGAGCCCGACGCGGTTCTTTTCAGTACGGTACGTGTCGCAGTACGCGGCTTGGATGGGATGGTGCGGGCACTCGATCCGTTGCAATTTCGGCGCGTGCGACGTCGTCCCCGCTCGTCCGTCCCCCGCGCCACCGCAGAGCCAACCGGGCATAGACATGGGCAAGGGCAAGGATGTACTACCTCGTCCCTGCCCGTTCGTCCCTGCCCGCTCGTCCCCCTCGATCCGATACCGCAGATCCGAGCGGGCACAGGCATGCGCACTGCGATCACGAAACTCGTGGTAGCATCGTCCTCCCCGCGCCGCCGCAGATCCGAGCGCGCACGGGCATGGGCATGGACAAGGACAAGGACATGGACATGCTACCTCATTCCCCGCGTCTCGTCCCCCGGGTCCGAGCGGGAATGGACACGGGCAAGGACGTGCTACCTCTTCCCTCGTCTCTCTCGCCCGTCCCCCCCGCGCCGCCGCAGGTCTGAGCGGGCATGAGCATGCGCTGCCTCGTCCGCCCCGCTACCTCTCGTCCCTCCCCACCCGTGCCTCGCCGCGACGTCACCGTCCCTCCCCGCGCCGCCGCAGATCCGAATGGGGGCAAGGACGGGCATGCGCGATTGCGCCCGACGCCCGGCGCGCAGTATGTGCTATTGTATCGTTATGACCGGGGCGCGAGGGCTGCGGGCTGCGGAAGGCGTGCGCGACAAGATCGTGGCGCTGCTCATTCGGCGCCATGCATGCCCTCGACGAGCGAAAAGCACCGCGGGCAGAGCGGCTCGGGAGGAGCGTCTTGGGGACGGGCACAGGTGAGCACCGATACCCAAGAAGGTCATGGGCGTTGACGAGTTCTTCGTATGCGGGTGTCCTGAGGCCGACGTCGAATCCAATAGCAGTACCGTTTGCTGTGTCGATGGCCATCCGCATGCACCGCGGCGCTGCAAGGGCAAGGGTGCCACGCGAGGTGCTGGTACACTGTGCGGGGGTAAGGCCCGGCGATGGATGCGGGGCGGCGGAGGCAGGGAGGCGCTGGTGCGTGGTGCGTGGGCTTGGAGTCGAAAGGGGATCTATGTCGTATCGAGCGCAGAAGCGCATTTGCTAGACTTGCTCCATGGTCGAAGTGGAGGCCCGAAGGCACGGGGCGCCAGGGACGCGAGGACGTCGGGCTGCGGGCGCCGGGAACGCGAGACGTACGCGACGAGGTCGATGCGAATCTGCCGACGGCTCTCATCGTGGGGGCTGGTGGCGGGGGTGGAGGTCCGAGGATCGGTCGTCCGAGTGCGTTGCATGGGAGTAGCACTTGGGGGACACGCAGACGCCCGAGGCGCGGGTGAGCACGGACGGCGCGGTGCGGTGGCGCAAATACGCCTGCGGGTAGGCCTGAGGGCGATGCCGCGTACAGTATCGTGCGGGTGCGGGTGCTGGTGAGGGGGTATCACATGTGTCGTCCGTGTGGCAAGATGTTGACTGCGTAGTGTAATGGCAACACGCTCGAACAAATTTCTTTTAAAGTAGTTGATTTTCACGAGAGGTCTAGGTTCGATTCCTAGCGCAGTCATGATTTTTTTATATTTCGAGAACACAATATAAGCAGGCACAAAAGTCTCACTGACTCAGGCTCCATTCGGCAGGCGTTATTTAGCGGTACTTTGCGTCATTTAGCGTTACTCCACCCGCTTAATTTTGGCGCCAAGTGACGCAAAGGACCGCTAAATCACGCTAAATAATGGTTGCCGAATGGAGCCTCAGAGCTGGTAAAACTAACGACCTGCTTGGTATAACGGTGCGCCACAAAGGGGAGCATGGTTCGAAAAGGGGAGCCTTGGGTTTGGTTCGTCCGGGAGCACGTACCCGGGCGGATGCTGCGCATTGAAGAATAATATGAGATTGGTGTTCGTGCTCAACCTGGAGGTGCGAATTGGACCAATTGGAGAAAATAGTGCAGGCACAAACAGTAAATAAGGGTTAAAAAAATGTAAGGGTGGGCCTGCGATGGCAGACGCGATGAGAGTGGAAGAGCCGGGGACGTACGGGCTTTTGTCGTGAGAGCGGCTGCAAGCCTGCAGGATCCTTATGGGTCCACCAGGGAGTCGTACTGCTCATGTCGTTGACGAGCGTGGCGTAACCGCAGGCAGAAGAGTGTCATCCGGTGAGAGCCGGGGCCTGAGATCGGAGACGCAGTCTTGTACTGTTTGCTGCGTCGGCGGTGCTGGCCCGGGCGGCAAATTGGCGACGAGGACTCGGAGGCTTTCAGCTAATAGTAATAGTAACGGCGTCAGCGAAGATAGCTAGGACTCCTCGCCAACTGGTGCGCACATTCCTTGCCCGCTTTGACCGTGGTGAGATAGTGGTGCGAAAATTGGTGTCCGGGCCCCGGACCGGTCCTGCCCATCGAAGCTGACCTGTGAGGTTGTGTTGAACGGGCAGACTGTCAACCGAAATCTAACTCACGCGACATCGGGCTGGATAAACCAATTGTCGAAGCTGGCGGGCAACGATAGACCCTTTAAGAATGTACCTGCGAAGAGGACCCCGCTGCAGAAAAAAAAATAGTCCAAATTATCACATTGGATTCACATCGCTTGCACAGATAAGGGAAGTTGAGTGTCATTGGGCATGGGGCAGCGGACTGAAATTTCAACCAACCGATTTGATGAACAGAACTTTGTGTTCAAGCTTGATAATCAGCTAGCAGCTAGGCAGGGAAAGCCAGGTACTGCATCGAGGCTGGACCGCGCTGCACAAAAAAAGCAGACGTTCCCATCCTCAACTCAGGCCTGAGTCGACCAGCCAACTTTCCGCAACGTACTTTCCATGATGTTGTTGTTGAGTATCTGCGGGTGTGAGGCGTTCACCACCGAGTCGGTATTTGGGTAGCTCTGTGAGGTTGTTTGGATGATTAAGTTGACGGTGAGTGGGCAAAGCCGACAGAAATTCAACTCAACCCTTTGCTGGGTAGAAGTCTGCGTATTCACAACCAGGCGGGAAAAAACAGCTAACGCGTCGAATAGGACACTGATAGCTGTAGGAAAACGGTAGGCAGCCTGACTTGAACAGGCGACTTCCGCAAATTATACACCGAGCTTAAATTCGATAAATGCCTGGCGAAGTGAACCTTCACAAGCGAGTCGGTATCGGGGAGATGGTTGTAGATAGGGTAGAGCTATAGCTTGCCACTCACCCCGAGGCTCGAGGAAATAAAGATAGGACCACGAAGGAGATAGAGGAAGAGCTGGGTACCACGATGAGGAGGATCTCGCAGCAGCAACAAAAATCCGAAGCCCCCCGATCATAACTCGGGCCTGAGTCGAACAGGCACCTACCGCAGACTCTGCAGCATGGTTCGGAACTTGAAAATTATCTGCGGATGTGAAACTTTGACCACCGAGTCGGTATCTTGGAATTTATGGATGGCGCAATTAAGAATTGAACTTGTGAACAGATACTTAGGCGAAGGAAAACAAAGCACATTGGCAAGGAGGACTTCGGAGCGAGAAAGCCGGTACATAGTACCCTGGCGAATGAAACTCCAACCTCCACTGTTCCCAATTATGGCTCGGGGCTGAATCGAAGAGGTAACACCCGCAAACCACACATCGCGATGGATTCCAAGAGATATGGCGGATGTGAGCACCTCACCACCGAGTCGGTAGAAAGGTGGCTGCGAGGATAGTTGACGGAGGTCGAAGTTAATGGGACAGCCTATTGAATTCGAACCTCCGTTGAGGGGGAGAGAGAGACTGGATAACTACGTAGGCGAAACGGGACGGGTAGGATTCGCTACACAAAAAAGCCCCGAGGTCGACAAAAAGCAAAACGAACAAAAGCCCCCGGCGAGCTCGACAAAAAAGTACTGGCGGAACATGATAATGACCCAGGGCGAGTCGGTGTGAGGTTTTGCAGATGAGGAGGCCCATGATATTGAGACTGTCCATCGGATTTTCAACCCATTCAGTAATGGGGAAGGATTCTCCGCTGATGGTCTGCGCCTCCTCCCGAGCGGCTTTCTCTCTGAGCCCACGGGCGTCGAGGACGAACTCGTCCGGCTCCATGTCGATAAATGGTTGTGTGACGGATCGGCTCGCCTGGGTCTCGGACTCCAAGCTAGGGTACCGCCGTGCGGGTAACGCGCGGAGGGAGGCCTGTATATCGTCATGAATTAGCGTTGCGAGTGATGAAGATGGTTCGGGACAGTTGTAAGAGACTTACAGGATCCATGGCGGCCAGTAGTCCATAGATCAGCGGGCGGGAAGCGGAAATGGCGAAGGCTATGCGTGTTTCAGAGGTGGTGCAGATACGGTGAAGTCAAAACGCACCAGCGACGCTTAGTGCCATAGGCTAGAAGCCACCGATGAGTGCCGTTGGGTGACCAAGGAAAAGACGCACCGGGTTCTGCTGACTCATCACTCGCAGGTCGAGCACGGCGGCACTCACGTTGAGGAGGCGGGACACGAACGGATACAGGCCTATGCGAGCGACGGTTATATCATGAGTTTCCCGATGCGGAAGATGATATTCCTGAACATACGAATGGTCGATCCTGAGCGATAGGAGGCCTCCGAGACCCGAGTGTCTATGATTCGCGAGTCGTCCGGTGGGAAGCGCCACGTTTCAAGCTGTTGTGTGTCGATCAGTGAGGGTGTGCCATCAAGGTCAAAAGGAACACGCACCACGTATGCAACGAGATACCCGACCAGGATCAGAAACGCGATATACAGGTGAGCGGTGTCCACGTAGTTTGTGTGCTAATGAGCGCCGCGGGGTCGGGGATACGATACCAGCAGTTCTGGGTGGATGTTTGGGGAGAAATCGTAGGATTGCACACATACGGAAGATGTATCGCCATACAGAAGAACATGCCCGCCGTGAACTTGAGGCTTAGCCATTCGCGTTCAAGTGGACTCAACATACAGTGCCCGATAAAGTCGAGGAGACGCACATGGACTCCAAAAATGATGAGGCTGTACACAGCGTACTAGGAGCTAGTGTAACAGCAAAGACGAGACTGAAGGTGGTCTGCGGCGCAAAGAATTGAAGGAGAAAGGATGTACTTCCCTAGACAAGCAGGCGGAAGCTGACCCGGTCCAGATATCGTCACGAGATATGGTCACGATACGGGATTCCATGCCACATGTCCGTAGAGGATGAGCAAACCCGTCGTCAGCGTCACGCCGGGGACCAACAGCCCGACCATTGACCAACAGTCTCGAGCTGTGGTATTATTAGTAATACTGACCAGTGGCATAACGGCAATACGCACAACAAGTTGTGTTCTTCCAGCGAGAAGGACATTGGGGGGAGGCAACGAAAGAGAAGGGAAAGGAGTCGGGAGGAGGCTTAGATATGTACTTGTTTACTTCTGCCTTGTGAGCCGTCTGTAGCGATATGCCGAGATGCAGCGACCCGACCAATGCGCCAATTCAAATTTGCAAGATATCGGTCCGCCAGTAGATAGGTCCCAGATGAGGAGGAGGGGCTGATTAATTGAAGCAAGACTGGGATGGCCAATGTTTGAGCCAACGTTCGAACGGGTCCGGACAGCTGTGAAGTTGCACGGAGCCTCTTGGACGCGACTTGGACGCGGGATTGTACTCCTCCTCGACGAGTCTCCTGACCGTGTCTACCACGTTCCGTCCTAGGTATCGTCAGCCATGGTGCACCCAGAAGCCGGAGCTGGTAGGTATGCTTGGAGTTGGTCTGTTGCTTTCTGGAGAAGGACGGAAGGATGACCTCATGGAATGATGGAGAAGAACCAGAGTCGAATGTGACTGATGTGACAAATCAATTGTTTTTTTCCCAGCGCGTGACCGAGACGCGTCGCGTCAACGAAAATTGAGAGTTTCGAGGATCTCGGGGATCTTTAACTTGTTTGCTTCCGCTTCGAACCCACCTCCCGGACATTTCCGTGCATCAAAAGGCGTTGCCAAACATGACACACCCTTCATCCGGATACTGAAAATAAAGTCCAGAAGATACTGTCTTTTCTATCCAAAACTTCAAGAAAAAGGCTACGCGCTCCTCCCGGCTGCAGAATGGCCCCTAAATATTTCTGTAAATTTCGGTGCCCTCCTTGCGACGCCATTTACTGCCATCAGCAGTCCCGATAGCGGAGTTTGAAACCTGCCCGAACAGGTCGGCATCGCATCAACATGCGGTTTCCATTCCACTCCTTACCTCTACTTCTTGCTCAAACTGCGGATTGATCTGTCTTGGACTGAGTCTTGACTGGCCCAAGTCTCAGTGACAAGCAGTGACAAGCAGGGCATCGGAGGGAAGTTCCGAAGTCGATTTGTCGAGCATTAGTTACCGTAAATAGGTGAGTCGGCCGCAGGCATTTCATGTCTTTTGACCTATCCCACCTTACCAGAAAAACACGGACCTCAACATCATCTTGCGTAGTGAGTTACATATCCGATCCCTCTGAATAGGTAAGTACACTCAACAGTCAAGATAAAGCAACAAATGCACGGCCTTCACGGTATCCGTTTTTTTTGTGTGTGTGCACATCCACGGTTCGTGTCACCAAATTCTCGAATCAAACACCCTCAGTCCCTGTCC